AATATTTATGGTTTACCTTTAGTTAACAAAAAAGTTTTAGGCAAGTTTAAAGATGAGTTAAATGGAAAAATAATGTCTGAATTTATAGGTTTAAGATCTAAATTATATTCTCATCGAATCTTAGATACTGAAAAAGAAATTAAAAAAGCTAAAGGTGTTAAAAAAAATGTTGTAGAAAATAAAATATGTTTTAATGATTTTGAAAAATGTTTACTAACAAAAGAATCAAAATATGTTAAACAAAATTTATTTAGAACTAAGAAACATGATATTTTACTGTAGAACAAAACAAAAAAGCTTTAAGTGTGTATGATGATAAAAGATTTATTTTGGAAAATGGTATTGATACATTAGCTTGGGGACATTATAAAACAAACATAGATAGAAACGATTTTGTAAACCATCTCAATACACTGATTAGAAATCAAAATCAAAAAGATTAGAAAAATATTTTTAATAGAACAATGTTAAAAAAATAATTTTTTTCTAATATAAATAATAGAAATGGAAAATTGTAAAAAACTTTTAGATATGATGCAAAAGTATAAAAGTATACTAATAATGTTATCAGAAATTGAATCATCTATGGATATTTTAGAAACTCATGTATCATTTTTATATGATGATGATGATGATCACAAAAAAAAATTTAAGAAATTAATTAGTTATTTTAAGAAAACTCATAATGAATTATCGGATCATATAATGAATCATTGGATTGATAACTATTTTTTTTAATATTCACTAGTTTGTTGTTAGACCTTTTTAATAGAACAATTCTATTAAAAAATAAATTAATTTGTCTAACTACAAATACTATATTACATTTCGATTTTAATTATTAATATCATAAGTATTATGAAAAATATTTTTGGGGTGAAAATGTATTTAATAAGTTTTGCGAAAAATTTTTTTATTATTATTGCATTTCAATTTTTATTTTTAATAATTAAGTTTTGCGGAAAATATTTTTATTATTATTGCATTTCGATTTTTATTTTTAATAATTAAGTTTTGTGGAAAATATTTTTATTATTATTGCATTTCATAAGTTTTGCGAAAAATTTTTTTAATTATTATTGCATTTCAATTTTCTGATCTTTTTGCACATTGTTTTCTTTGTGATCTTTTACTGATATATTATGAGGTGCGCCAGGACTGGTATATATATACTACTCCCCACAAAAAACCTCCTCATCAACAAACAATATCGAAGCTCAAATATCCGCAGATGTAAACAAAAAATCCTTTGCTACAACTGTAGCAAACAGTCTAGTCCCGAAAAAAGAACAAGCAATATTAATAGACATAAATGAAGCAATCCCGCACAAAGACTATATTATCGCTATCGGCAATATTGTAAAACCGGTCAATATCATTTTTGCTTCCCGTATATCGAATAAACGATTGTGCATATTCCTCACTAATAAAGCATTAGTAGACAATCTCATTATAAATTACCCAATTATAACAGTCAATGAACAACAATTCAAAATCCGCAAATTACATAACCCAAACAAAAGAATAATCCTATCTAATGTCTATCCCAACATACCCCACGAAGCCATAGAAAATGAATTCAATAATCTCAATATAGGTCTACGAAGCAACATATCATTCTTAAGAGCAGGTATACAAGACGCTGAATTTTCCCACATTCTGAGCTTTCGTCGCCAAACATTTATAAACCATGATGACATAGAAAAACTCCCTAGTTCTATTCTAATTAACTATGATGACACAAACTACAGAATTTTTATATCAGACGACTCGTTAACATGTTTCTTATGCAAAACTCAAGGTCACATTGCCTCAAATTGCCCGAATAAACTTGAAGAACACATAATTGAAACACAGATTGACATAAATGATAATAACTCTGTTAATACATACAAAACCAAATCAAAAATAGAAAATTTAATAATCACCTCAAATGAAGAAGATCAAACATTTGATATGGATTTAGACCCGATATCTGGCACTAAAAGGTCTCTCCCTGAGTCCTTCAATTTCCCCTCCCCCTCTTTACTAGACACACCTATAGTCATTGACAATCCCTCACATTTTAACATATTAGAAATCCAACCAAAAACAATACAAGAAACAAAAAAACCTAAAACAATCTCTAGTTCTCTCAAACAATTCCTAGAAAACTTAGATAATAATCTAAGTCCGGCGGAAGAAATCTTCAATGAAAACGAAGATTTAAAAATTGATTATATTACATTTAAACATCTTTTTGAAAATAACCAAGGAGATTTCAATCCACATGACATCTTTACAGAATATAAGATTACAAAAGAAGAACTACTCGACATTTTATTAAAAATAAAACCTACACTAAAAAATAAAAGCATAAAAAATAGACTAACTCGTTTCACTAGAAAGATAGTAGAAGACAGTTATGAATCAGCTGGTTCTGAAGCATAAATAAGTCAATTCATTATATAATATTAAAAAAAAAAAAAAAAAAAAAAATGAACCCTGATAATTTCAATAATATAAAAATACTACAGTGGAACATGAACGGATTCGATAAAAAATATGAAGAAATCTCCATTTTAATACAAGACCATAATCCAGATATTATATGCATCCAATAAACGAATTTTAAAAACGAAAACATAACAAACCTAACCAACTATGACGGTTACAATAAAAACAGATTAGATAGTGCAAGGGCAAGTGGCGGAGTGGCCATATATGTTAACACTAATTACCCGAGTAGACAATTAAACATATCTACAGACATTGAAGCGATAGTGGTCACAGTTAAACTAACAAATAGCGATATCAACATATGCAATGTATACCTACCTAATCACAAATCATTCAATGACACGGATATTAACAATATCATAAAACAATTACCACAACCTTTTATAATTGTAGGTGACTTTAATAGCCACAACGTAATTTGGGGATCCAAAAATACTGATCAAAGAGGTAAAGTTATAGATAAAATCCTTGAAAACAACAATATAATATTATTGAATAGCACCGAACCTACAAGACTAAATCCAATAAATGGCAACCTATCTAACATTGACCTATCATTCGCCAGCACATCATTAGCACAACGAATCGACTGGAATGTAATACCAAATTTAACAAGCAGTGACCATTTTCCCATAATACTTCAAATCTTATCTCGGTCACACAACTCAGTAACCAATGACACAATAGAGAGATGGAACTTAAAAGACCCAAATTGGGTTAGATACACAGAACTATTAGAACTGGAAATGGACAACATACAAAATCTAGACACATTAAATATAGACAGTCTAACAAAAGCATTCACGGACGCTATAATAAAAACAGCCGAACTTACGATAGGAAAGAGTAAGAATAAACAAAAAAAACCAAAGGTGCCGTGGTGGAACGATGCTATCAAAAACGCAATAAAATTAAAAAACAAAGCACTCAATAAATTCAAAAAAACAAAAAATGAAATTGATTATATAATTTTAAAAAAACACAGGGCAGCGACAAAATATATTATTAAGTCAAGCAAAAAAAAGTCATGGGAAACTTTCATCAACAATATAAATGAAGAAGCCGACACAAAACTCATATGGAACAAAATACACTCATTAAAAGGACTTAAACGCAACTACAAAATAAACCTAATCGACGAAAACAGCAATAAACTAATTACTAATACAAATGAAATCTCCAACAAATTAGGACAGCACTTTCATTCAAATAGTAATAACACATCTTACAGTCCAAACTTTGTCAAACTTAAACATGAAAAAGAAAATACACCTATTATTAATATCGTTGATCACAACAACGAAAATCAAATACATATGAATTCAAAAATAACAAGGGACGAGATAGTATGCACATTAAAAAAATGTAAAAGTTTAAGCCCAGGGCCTGACGGAATTCCATTTATCTTTATACAACACTTCGGTATAAAAAGTCAAATTATACTTGAAAAAATCTATAATACCATCTGGTGTGACGGATCCTTCCCCTCATCATGGAAAAACGGCATAGTTATTCCTATTAATAAACCCGGAAAATGTAGATTCAAGACAGAAGGTTACCGGCCAATCACCTTATTAAATACCATGTGTAAAGTAATTGAAAAAATTGTTAATTTTAGACTCATTTGGTTTTTGGAAAAAATAGATTATCTAACGCCTTTCCAAAGTGGCTTTAGAAAAAATCGTTCCACGTATGACATTCTCACCACAATAAAAGAAGAAGCTCAGCAAGCTCTACAAAATAAACAATTCTTAGGTTTACTCAGTATTGACATATCAAAGGCCTATGATGTCACCTGGAGACATTATATTATATCAAAATTAAATAAAGTCATATGTAACGGTAACATGCTAAACTTTATAGTGAATTTCCTAAAAAATAGAACATTCCAAGTTAAAACTTCAAACCAACTCTCTGACACCTTCACACAGGAAAATGGGGTACCACAAGGATCCGCCCTTTCAGTTACACTATTTCTAGTGGCAATTAACAAAATTGACAAACATTGTAAATTTCCCATAAAAGCTAACATATTTGCTGATGATGCAATTTTTTCTTGTAGAAGTAAAAATATCAAAACAGTACAATATCACTTACAAGTAACAGCAAAACACCTAGAAAAATGGTCAGCAAAAACAGGCTTCAGTTTTTCAATAGAAAAATCAAACTGCATAACATTTACTAGGAAATCAAATGTAGTGGAGCTTAACATTAAAATTGATAATAAAAATATACCCAACAAAAAATGCATAAAAATATTAGGTATCACATTTGATTCTAGGCTCACATGGTCGCCACACATAAAATCTTTGAAAATATCTACAAACAAAGCACTTAGATTGATAAAACTATTATCACACACAAATTGGGGTAGTGAAACGGAAACGTTGATCAAAATATTTAAATCAACAATACAAGCTAAACTATATTACGGTTCTTTTATATATAATTCAGCAAAAAACACATTAATGAAATATATTGATTCTAATCACAATTTAGGGATGCGAATGGCTATAGGGGCATTCAAAAGCAGCCCAATTAAAAGTATCTATAATATAGCGGGAGAACCAACGCCAGATCTCAAAAGAACAGAGCTGACTCTTATATATGCTGCTAGACTAACAAGATTAATAAATAACCCAGCATCAACTAACAACATAACCCTAGAACTAAAAAAAAATCAAAATTACACCAAGATTCCACAAATAATAACAAAAGAAAAAATAATTAACCCACCATGGATAAGCCTATATAAAATTAACACAGAATTGAATACCCTACCCAAGGAAAACACACCTCCACATATATATAAAAACCTTCTGAAAAATATCCTTGAGAACCAAAATGAATTCCAGGAATTATATACCGACGCCTCCAAAAGTGACAAAGGAGTAGAATTAGCCATAATAAAAAACAATTCACAGACATCATTCAAATTACCATCAACATGTTCCATATATACAGCCGAAGCACTTGCTATATTATTAGCCATAAAACACATAAACAAAAATGTAAACCAAAAATATTTTATTTTAAGTGACTCGTTAAGCGCGATAACTAGTATAAAAAATAAATTTAATCCTAGTGATCTAGCAGCAACCCAAATTCAAAATAAACTAGTAGAAGCAAACCAAAAGAACAACAATATAATTATAATTTGGATACCTGGTCACATAGGAATAATAGGTAATGAAAAGGCAGATAAACAAGCAAAATTAGCTATCGGATCAATGAACTCACAGTTTATCAACATTGCTTCTTATTCTGATGTAAGAAAACAAATACAACAAGACACTATTCTAATGTGGCAAAAAGTATGGAACACACAAAACAACAAATTAAACCAAATTAAACAAACGGTCAAAAGATGGAGAAGAAACCCTAATATCTGCACCTCAGATGAAAAAAAACTAAATCGGGCCAGAATTGGTCACACGAGACTGACTCATGAATATTTAATGAATAAAGGCGACCCACCCTTATGCCAATCATGCGGTACCACAATTACAATCAAACACATCTTTGAAGAATGTAGAATGTATGAAAAACAAAGAGAGGATCTCAATATAAGCCATCAAATTGGAACTAGTCTAGGTCCAAATCCTGATAACGAAATCGACACCATTAAATTTTTTAAAGCAATTAAAATACTTAATTTACTTTAGTCAACACTTACAATGTACCAAATACCAAATAACTAATTCATAACTGTCTTATCTTAATTGTTAGTTTATTTTATTCTATTGTTCTTTTTTTTTTTTTTCTCTCTACCTTCCATATTATAAATGTATGTAATTATGCTTATAATGCTATGCTAATGACCTAGCTGTCGAAGCAGAAATTGTAAATGTTGTGTATAATAAATGTATTTAAATGAGATAATAATTTGACTAATAATACTATAGTTACTTTATACTACCAACTGTAATATTTGTTAAATATAAAAAAAAATAGAAATAATTATAATCTATTTTATAACATAAATAATAAATCACGTATTATCACCTATTGTACTCAAAATTATGGTTTAGAATTATTTACATTCAGAATTCATGTTTGAATACTTTTTCACTATGATTTCATAATCCCTCTATATGCACGTTTTACCAAGTTTGACAGTTTTGTGTCAAATGGGTCGAATTCTCCAGGCATTACTTTAGATTTTCAAAGTCCTGCTATAATTTCTACAACATATATAATACAAAAATGAGGTTATGGATTTTTTTGCCGACATAAGTAAGCTATAGACAATGATTTTACAAATATTTTAAATAAAACACTTTCAAAAAATGCTGGCTTAGTTTTAGTGCCTTTGAAAGTGAACTACGTTAATAATTGTTTCGTAATAATGATGTCTTGTACTCTGGAAATCACTGTGCTTATTTCCATCGATTGGATCTTTGATACTACCGAATGCAAGTGTACAATCTACAATAACAAGGAACAAGCATTAATAATTTAATAATTTATTATATGATAATATTTACCACATTTGAGTTCACTAGCGTACCTACTTTATTTATTTATAATTCATCAACAATACAATAATATAATTTTCATATAATTATGAATTATAAAGAAATAAAACCAGTTAATTGAATGTTGGTCAAACATATTTTTATAATATTAAAATTATATTTTACTAGCCAACTTTTGTTTATGCTCAACATTGTTTAACATATTGACCAATATACACTGCCGCATAATGTTCCATTGTCGTCAAAGGTAATAAGTGTTGTAAACAACCTCCAATTTTTGGGTAATTCTACAAGTTTACGAAGAGGCCGTTCTCCACTTATTGTAACCAAGTGATTGCCAATAATTTTCAAGTTGCTAGCCATTTTTTGTTGCACCTTTTCGATGGCAGTAAGGCAAAGTAAAATAAGGTGTAGTAGATTGTGTAATGTTTCTGAAAAAAATGTTTCACAAATAGAACTATAGTAATAATATTCATAAATTAAATTGACTAACCAGTGGTTGTTCATTCATTGAAATTAGGAATATCTCGTAGTCTTACACAATCTGAATGTATATCTATAATATTATATAGTTAGTACATTTTTTTAACGTTTTAAGAAGCTGCTGATTATATTATTTAATGGGTGTATTTTTTAATTATTTATGACTTGTCAACTTAGATAAAAAATCATTTTTTTTTGTTTTTGACACGCCGATACTAGTTACTAGTTTGCCATCCCTGTTCTAGACCAACTACGCAAATATGAATAGGTATTAGGTACCTATATATTTTGTGAAATTTTAGAGCATAATATAATGAAATAACCACAACTATATACGCGTTGACCACAATATAATGTAATAAAAATTACAATAGTATATAATAATTAATATTATATAAAATAAAAGCCAAACTTACTTGTTTCGAAATCAATGTAGGTATTATAGTTGTATCTACTCTACACTTTACAGCTTATGAAAATAAAATAAAAATGACTTTGCGTTCAGCGTTGTACCAAATACTATAGATATCGTAATACAGACATGGATAGCATAATACAGACAAAGATTTATAGTAGGTACAGTAGAATCCGTTTAAGACAATATCCCGCCTAATACGCTCATTTTTTAGAGTCCTGTGTTTCTGACATAGTTCAACATAACCGGTATACAACGATTTCACGCTGAAGACGCGATTTTTAACTGGTCCCTATGAGAACGTAATACTTTTAAGAGGGTACTACACGGATATTTGTCTTACAAGTGAGTAACATACCAAATTTTATGCTCAGAAGATCCCGCGATGGCTAGTTTAATAATTAGAATGAACTGACTTCTTATAAAATTTTAAGGTAAAATTATTATCTAGGGCTTTCCATTATATTTTAGTTTTAAAGTGAATTATGAGTATTTTAAAATTCTAAATTGCTTGTACATCTTAAGATACTCATTGTGTTAATACGTTATTTACTGCTATTATTACGTTTAGACGTTAAATTCGACAATTTATTTTGATAATGGTTGGTAATTGATAATCTATTTTCTATACATGTTTCAAACATGATGCGTTTGAATCAGAAATAGATACTTGGCATAATATTAGATTCAACGCCTTAAAAATTAAAATGTTATAAGTCAGTAACCCATATGTTTTCGGGGGGGGGGGACAAACTTTTGACGCAGTTTTTAATTGGAATTGTAAAAAAATATATTCTATTACTTCAAGACACCGTTAGGACACCACTCAATTTATTGTGGTGGGCCAAAATTGGTCAAACTCCGTACATGACACTAATTAAACACTAATGACACCAAAAACACCTCTTTGAAACTACTGGTCCGGCATCGGGTCAGGACACAGATCATTAAATATATTTAATGATATTTTATATCATTAAAATATGTACTGATGAATGATTTTATTTCAATAATAAACCATATTTTATTAAGTTTCCTTAAGGGGCCTCGCTACTACCGTCAATTTTAGCTGAAAAGACCTAAAGTATTGACAAAATTAGAGTTAGTTTACGTCGTTCATTTTGATCCTACGAAGCACTTTGTAAAAACTAAATTTCATATTATTGTGATCTGTGATTGAAAAGGAAAATATCAAATTTTTCAAATCGTAACTAAATTTAAAGTTAATATTAAAAACAGAAAATGTTTGGTACGATCTACGGATATTTTTCTGCTGAATTCAAATATTTTTTTCAGAATCAAAATCAGACAACGTTAACCAACTTAAATGTTGTCAAAACAAATGTATGTTTTTGTAAAATTCGTGTAGTGAAATTGATGTGGTTATCGAGTTATTGACATGTGCATGCGCGTACGAGAGAGGATTTAATTTCGCTCGCACTAATAATCATTTACAATTACTAACTCATAGATCCCGGGCGGCTTCGACAAGACTAGAAATTGCCTAAACGTTGCCCCTTAAATAATGACAAGGCCCCCGTCGCTATCGACAGACGCCGCCGTGTATACAGACGATCATAATAATAAGATCGTAATGATAAAATTATTACCTATTATATTATTGCTATAACGTACATTTTTTTTCTCCGCCATGTTTCTCGTACGTTTACCCATAGATAATATAATATAATTAATAATATTGTTAATTAATACCCCTAGGCACTATAATTAATCATTAATGTCATTAGGTACGGAATACAGAATAAAATGATGTTATTTGACTGGCGATTGAAAGTGATGAGATGTAACGGGGACGCTGTGTATCATTCGTATGTTGTTTTACGTGTTCCCCGTTACAGATCCACCCCCCGCCGGCCTGATAATTGATAAGCTTTCAATCGCCAATATTGTTCACTAGTCACTACGTGACAACCTGCGGCACGTCGGCGGCGGGGCTGTATGTAAACTGCGGCAAAATTAACCTTTTTCTAAAAGTTGATATGTAAACTGCGGCAAAAAAAAATTTTACATTATACAAACTGCGACAAAACCGATAAGATACATTATACAAACTGCGGCAATTTGTTTTATATACGATATACCTTCAATATACCTAGGTATACTATATTATAGTTCCTAAATCATATATACCTACCTATGTCTATGTGTACCTATGTAAGTATATAATTTAATTAATTATGTGATGTTGCGTCTTGCGCAGATATTGGTAAGGTAAATCCAAATGTATTTTTAAGTTATAACGGAGCATATCGGTAATATCGGTTCCTTCACTTTTGATAATACTAGTTAGTACCTACTTACAAGTGCTAAATGTTAGTAGAGTTAAAAGTTTAATATTTATTCAACGTGATGGAATTTACAACAATGTTTATCCAGAATTGCAAACAATTAACAGTGTTCGACAATTTTAAATTCAAATTTAAATATGAATCAAAAATAAGTGGTTTTTGATTATACGTACATTACGATCTCTTAAAATAATTTTTAATAATAATAATATTTTTCAATTTTAAAATTGGTTTTTCCTTTATTTTTCGCCTAATACTCTATGAGTGTCTAGAAGTTCTATTGAGTATAATATTATAGGTAATGTTCATGTTACAAGATAGGGGGGTACAAACTACAAACGTTATCGATCATGAAGTTAAGCCACGGACAAAATACGCATTATAGCTGTCATAATACGTATTATACCTAATTAAACGATAAACGTATAATATACCCCCTGAATATACGTATGTATATAGGTTATCGTATCGATATGTGTAAAGGTAGTACATATTAACATATAGAAGGTATATAAAACAAATTGCCGCAGTTTGTATAATGTATCTTATCGGTTTTGTAGCAGTTTGTATAATGTAAAATTTTTTTTTGCCGCAGTTTACATATTAAGAGGACGCCACACCCGCATGTGTTGTTTCCCTCTTACAAATGTACAACATAGCAAAAACTCTTTTGCGAGGGACAACTTTTCTCGCACCATATTTGTTGTAGAACTACCAAATTTTCACAGCACTTAAAGAAGAACTTTATCTGTGCAACAGCGTGCTCTTTTTTTCAATAACATATATACAATACAAGTTATTTGCTTCTAAACATTTGGTTTTTTAATTTGCTTATAAAAAATGATTGGATGGTGCTATTGAAAAAAAGAGCACGCTGTTGCACAGATAAAGTTCTTCTTTAAGTGCTGTGAAAATTTGGTAGTTCTACAACAAATATGGTGCGAGAAAAGTTGTCCCTCGCAAAAGAGTTTTTGCTATAT